TGAGAGTAAATGTACTTTAAATCTAATTCTTCTGTGCAGCTGCTGCTTTCTCTCTGGAAAGCCTTTTTCATGCTTTGAGCGATGCAGAGATGTGGGCTGGGTGCTAATCCAGTTTAAGGTGCCAAACTTCCTTGCCACTCATGGAAGGTTTCACCACCACCACCACCTTTGAGATAAATGTAGGACTGTCTTTTACTGTAACCCACCACTGGTTTGGGGAGATCTGTTGAAGATTCATTACTTGTGGAGGAAAAAGTGAAGGTTTCATGTTATTTTGGTGTCGATACACCAATGTAAGATGGTGTGGAATCAGCTGGTTTGGGTTTTTCTCCTTCTATATAAGTATTTAGTAGTGTCTGCATTTAAAAGAATAAGCCAAAACAAACCAGGACCTGTGAAAGAGGCTCATGGCACTGAAGGTGCTGCTGGAGCACCCTGGGTGGTGTTGATGGGCAAACCAGGAGCTGTGGTGGGGTGCTCCTGTTAGCTGCTCTTCATGGGTAGGTGTTTGTTGGAGTTACTGCTGCAGCTACCACTTATTTGGGGCTGGAAGATCATCCTGCAGTAGGGGTTAATTTGAAGATGCTGGTAAATCAGGTATGCCAAAATGCTGTGGAGGCTGGAGTTTCCTGAGCTTTGTTACCACCCATTTGACTGATTTCTGATAGCATGCAACACCAAATATCAGTACTGAGGGAGTTTGGCTGGAATAGCAGCAGGATTTTGCTGTCTCCTTCCCCCTGCTTTCCTTATCCAATCTGCCCCAGAGACTTCCTTCTCCCAATTCTTGCTCCTTTCCTTTGGGAAAGATACCTATTTGAGGAAAGCCCCGGGCAGAGCTTCCTCCTTTCCTATTCCTCTGCTCTCTCTTCCTGAGAGTGTATTTTGGAGATGGAGCTTGCTGATCTTGAGCTCATTAATGCTGTCATACCATTCTGAATACATCAGCTGTGCCCATAATATGCAGTCTGAAGCCATTATTCTCTATTCTCTAGAAGTGATCTTCCTTTTTTAATTACTATTATTTTTATACATGCGCTGCAGTCTGAGCGGTTTTCCAATAGTAACTCATATTCAGCGACTTATTAAGGTTTATCCAAGTCACAGATTCCCAGTGGATGTTCTGAGCTTGCTTCTTAGTTAAAAACATCATCTAAATTCAAATCAGGAATTAGCACAGTTCTGCAAATGACATTCACCCCTCTGCAGAAGGACCAGTGTTAATCCTATGCATTGCAGCAACAGTATTTCAGGCCTTGTTTGAGGGCTTTAGTGGGGCTTAAACGAGCCTTAGGCAAAGCACAGAGCACTGCAGTAGTGTGGGACTAGCTGCTTACTTTGGGCACTGAGCTAAAACATGTGTCAGAGGGGCTGTATTAGGATGTGGGTTCCCTTTATAGCCAGGGCAGAAGACGAGGTGCTCCACAAAGACTTCTTGTGTCATCTGGTACTGAAGTTAGTAGCTGCGGACAACATCTTCCTGTGATCCTGTTCCTAAACCATTGCCTCACTGCTGGAATCCCTGCCTTTGCTGGGAGAGGGATCAGGCCCCTGCTTCACAGAACTAAGGGAACTGATGTGGTGCTGGCAGAAACAGCAGGATCTTCAGTCTGGGACTTTGAGCTCCTAATGGAATTCAGGTCAGGTTGATCTGGTTCCTGTAGGGCTTTCTGGAAATGCCCACCTTAATATATTACTTTTGTGCCTCCTTACTGGTTGTCACCAGCAGTCTGTGGTGTTTGCATTGCTGGAGTTCCACTAAACTCATTGTGCTGAGTGTATTGAGTGGGTTAAAGAGCATCATCCATCCATCCATCCATCCATCCATCCATCCATCCATCCATCCATCCATCCATCCATCCCTGTCTCTCCAGGGTAGAGCATGTCCTTGGCATAGAAATGGTGAAGTGATGCTCACAGTAGAAGAGGAAGCTGATATACTCCCTTCTCCAACACCCTGCTGCTTGGAAAAAGACAAACCCAAAACAGATGTGTCATTAAATCATCTTGAATCATTGCAAACATTGCAGGGGCTCAGCGCAAACATCCATAGCTTTAAACCACCTCCACAAAGTGCTCTGTGTCTCTGTCATGAAATTTGGATGAGCTACACTGGATAAACTGTTTTTACTGTTACCTGATAGCCACCTACCTTTTAAAGTGGAGATTTACAGGGGAAAGATAACAATGCATTTCAGTGCACTGTGAGAGCTTACCAGAAGGGTGATGGGATTTCTTGGTCCTCATAAAGCTGCTGCCCAGCATGGGGAAATCTCTCCCTCTAGTTTGGCGAGCAGGCAGAGGAAGCTGTCTAGTGTCTGAGATTAAAGTATATGATAATTTAATCACCAGTTAGTTAGTGATAATGAGCAAGTATTTTGCCAAATGAGCTCTTAAAGTGAATCTCTAAACACGGATCCTGGTGCTGCCCTGCTTAAATTGAGTGCAAGGTGCAGCCCTATGAAAGGCTCACGCATTGGTGTTCAGCTTCAGCCTGTGTTGGTGGCAAACCTGCTGGCCAAATGACCGAGCAACACGTGTACCCATGTCAGGGATAGGATGTAGCTCCAAGGGCTTCTTAACTCATAACTGATGAGCTCAGCTTCACTGAGCTTTTCCAGCATGGATATGTTCCTACTTAATTGTTGGACTTCTGAGAAGCGTGACAGCAGAGCAGCCAAACAGTCTTGTTTTCTTTTTTTAGCTATCTTTATTTTACCTGGATCATTACCCAGCATCAAAGAGTGCTGCTGTTGCTTGAAATAAACATGTTTAAACATTAATAAGTAGCATAAGAGATGCTCTTTTTGATGCCGTGTGGGAAAACATCGGCTGGTACATAGAGGAGAGGAAAGGTAGCATGGATGGGTTTTAGCTGGTGTGTTTTAATGTCCCTCAGTAATTACTTTGCAAGTAGTAATGCAAACAAGGGAAATTGCTGCAATCAGGGGCCCATAACACTGCCTTGAGACAAGCCCAACTGAGCCAACAACGCGCAAGCTGGTTCCCAGCAGCAGCAAAGAGGTTGGTGAGGGTGAACTTGGGTCTGTCTTGTGTCTGCCCAAAGGTACATGGAAGGTTGCTGGGAGCCTGGTGACACTGAAAGCAGTGCCCTGGACCTCTCCAGCGGTGGTTAGCCCTGTGTTAGGGCAATTTAAGAGGATACAGAATCACAGAATGGTTTTGGTCGGAAAAGACCTTAAGGTCATCCAGTTCCAACCCCCTGCCATGGGCAGGGACACCTTCCACTAGATCAGGTTGCTTCAAGCCCTGTCCAGCCTGGCCTTGAGCACTGTCAGGGATGGGGCAGCCACAGCTTCTCTGTGTGGCACCCTATGCCAGTGCCTCAGCACCCTCACAGTAGAGAACCTTTTACTTATATCTGACCTGAACTTCCCCTGTTTCAGTTTGAACCCATCACCCCTTGTCCTGTCACTACAGTCCCTCTCCAGCATCCCTATAGGCCCCCTTCAGATACTGGAAGGCTGCTATGAGGTCTTCACGCAGCCTTCTCTTCTCCAGGCTGAACAGCCCCAACTTTCCCAGCCTATCTTCATACGGGAGGTGCTCCAGTCCCCTGATTATCCCTGTGGCCTCCTCTGGACTTGTTCCAACAGTTCCGTGTCCTTTTTAGGCTGAGGACACCAGAACTGCACACAATACTCCAGGTGAGGTCTCCCAAGAGCAGAGTACAGGGGCAGGATCACCTCCTTCAACGTGCTGGTCACGCTTCTCTTGATGCAGCCCAGGATACTTATTACAGTTCCTTATTACATACATATTACAATTTCAACTATGTTGAAAGCCTCAAAATTTGAACACAGTGATGCTGCCCCTATTGCCAGATTTCTTAGAAACTGACTTTCAAAAGGAAGATTTATTCCATTTTCATATGGCTGAGCATGCTGGTGAGGGACTCTTCATTAGGGACTGTAGTGATAGGACAAGGGGTAACGGGTTAAAACTTAAACAGGGGAAGTTTAGATTGGATATAAGGTGGAAATTCTTTCCTGTTAGGGTGGTGAGGCACTGGAATGGGTTGCCCAGGGAGGTTGTGAATGCTCCATCCCTGGTGGTGTTCAAGACTAGGTTGGATGAGGCCTTGGGTTGATATGGTTTAGCGTGAGGTGTCCCTGCCCATGGCGGGGGGGTTGGAACTGGATGATCTTAAGGTCCTTTCCAACCCTAACAATTCTGTGATTCTATGTTACAGTGCGTACCATGCTGCTCCCTGTCAGCGTGAGATGCTGAGCTGGCTTTGTCACGAAGACTCAGAAGGTCAATCCAGAAGGGACTGTTGAGTCATCTTTGTCCTTGCTCCAGCATTTCAGGAGCTGCTGTGTTTCCACCTGCTCATCTCAGCACAGGGCACGCTGTGTCTGACCACTCTTTTCCTGTGCAGGAACATGTCCAAGCTTCACGTGGCATCTCCAAGAAATTAACATGTTTACTGCTCTGTTTGATAGCCTGTTGGAGAGATTAATGATTCATAGGATAAAAATACTTTCCTTGTTGGCTCTTTCTTGCCTTCAGCTTCCAGCCAGTGATTCCTTTTATTCCCTATTTCAGAGATACAAAGCCCTTCTTTTGCACTGTGTTTTCCTTTGTGAAGGAAGTTTTATGCTATAATCAAGTTGCCTCTCGGTCTGCTTTAGACAACCTGAACAGATCAAGCTCCCCATTTCTCATTATAAGATGTTTTTCTCCCATCTAGTGATTTTTACGGCTGTCTCCTGTATCCTTTCCAGCGTTTCAACATCATCTTGCCAAGGTTAACCCCACAGCTGTTCCAGGATCCAGCTCATCAAGCTGCAGTGTCTGAGGCAGGGGGTTACATTGCCTCCTGGTTTGCATGCATTGCATTTCCATTTGACATGGGCATGGCTTAAGTGGGATATCCCACATGGGGAGGTTGTGCTCAGGTCCCCTGAGTATTGTCACAGAGGTGTTTTGTTCCATATTGTGGTCCCAGTAGTTTTCTCTTTCCATTGCTTTTTCAGTGGTTAAAAGAAGAAAACAGTTAGTGCAGAGCTGTTGCTGGGGAAAGATGAGTTACTCACTTCATAAAGCAGGTATTCCCAATGCTTCCTTGTTTTTTGGTTTGGCAGCTAAGCTAAAGATCAATTAAATGTCTCCAGCCTTGCTGCAGGGAAGGCTGGGGAACCATTTGTTGTTTTAAATCTCTTTACTTTTCAATTGTCCAATTCAGTTATGGGTGAGCTTATACTTTCACTGGGAAAGGGCAGCAGCTATAGAAGACCCAAGGACCTGGGCTGTTCAGGATCTGATGAGGAATTGCATGTTTTCAGTGCACCTTCAGAGGTTTTGCCAGTAAATGCAAATAGGTATTTGCTTTATCTTAACATATGGAGAGTTACATGTGTGTGTGTTTGTGCTTTGCAGCCCAAAGACAGAGCTCAGCAGCATCCACCCGAGCAGTGCTGGAAACCTGATTTTAGTCAGTTTGCACAGACTGTTCCTTGCCTCAAAGCCATTGAAAGCAAAAGGGAGGTTTCCAGGGAGCCCAAAAACATATGTGAGGTTTTGAGGTTGCTTTTGTTTGTTTTAATTTCACTACATCCCAGAAACAGCACTTCTTCAAAATCTCATTTGTGGTTATTTTTCTGTCTGTTAGAGGGAGGAAAAGGGGCTTGTTGTGCATTCATACATCAAAGCACATCGTACATAAAGGTTATGGGGTGCTTTAGTTCCAGGGGTCCCATGAAAGTACAGTGTAGTCAGGGGCTTTGTCAGTCACTGATGTAAAACCAAGTAACAAATGTTGCTTGAATTCATCCAAAGCCACTTCCTAAGCAGAGACTTGAGCATCTGTGCCCTGTACCTGGCTTCACTGAAGGAGAACTCCTGCATAACACACTGTTCTCAGGCTGTCAGGATTTTCTGCTGTATAACCTGCTTAGGTTTCTTTACAGCCCTTTGCAGTAAACTTTGAGCTCTTCACTAGTCTGAGAGCAGATGCTCTTTCTCACTTGCCATCTTCATCCTCTCTTCCCCTCCAGCTAATGGTGAGAAGTATTTTTAAGTACCATTGCACATAGATCTGGGAGGCTGAATGACTTAGGAGCCAGCTGGGAGGATGAATGTGTCATTCCTGGAGTAAAACATAGATCTGGGGAGTGTTCATGGTTGGGTTTTTTTCCAGCGTTGCCATTTCAGGTGGCCCAGCAGATGGAACTGCCCACGAATCCATGTTTATCCCTGCAAAACCAGCTGCTGCAGAAGGCTGGGGCGAGGGTTCTGTGGACTCCTGTGCTTTGGAGAGCTTGTTACGATGATATTAATGCCCCTCTGTTTGGCTTAGCAGTGTTCTCCAAATTGGTGTTCGTTCTGGAAGTTGTGTATAATTCCCAATTTGTTTGTTTAGGCCACGTTAATTGGGTAAGGTACTGGAAGATCGTATTTGTTCCTCTGAAGGAGACAAAAGGATCAGAGCAATTTGGGGGTGATGACATCTCGCCAGAGGATATCTGGTGGCATCCACTGGCATTCCGGGGATTAAAGATGTTCCCTATTGGTGTGGATGTGGTGCCGTACCCTGGATTCCCCATAAAAGCATGAACGTAGTCATTGAAGTGAGTGGCAATAGTCCTTTAGGCATTAGTCCTTGGAGCACCTCTCCTGTGAAGACTGGCTGGGAGAGCTGGACTGGTTCATCCTTGGAGAAGAGGGGGCTCCAGGAAGACCTTATAATAGATTCCCAGTACCTAAAGGGGCTGACAAGAAATCTGGAAGAGGGGTTTTGGACAAGGGCCAGTAGGGACAGGCCACAGGGAATGGCTTTAACCTGACAGAGAGGAGATTGAGTTGAGCTCTTAGGCAGAAGCTCTTCCCTGTGAGGGTGCTGAGGCGCTGGCACAGGGTGCCCAGAGAAGCTGTGGCTGCCCCATCCCTGGCAGTGTTCAAGGCCAGGTTGGACACCGGGGCTTGGAGCAACCTGCTCTAGTGGAAGGTGGCCCTGCCCATTGCAGGGGTTGGAACTGGGTAAGCTTTAAGGTCAACCAACCCAAACCATTCTGTGATTATGTGATCTGTCACTGCTCCTGAGAGGTCATGGAAAGGCATCAGCAGCCATTGCAACAAGCAGGAGCACCCAGGGCAGCAGCAAGCAGGCACTGGGCTGCACAGGGATTCTGTAAATCCTGTGCCTGCTGGGAAACCCTTTGGAAATGAATATTTAATAGAGAAATAAAATGATTATATGTACGTGTAAATGCTGTATTTATCTCCCTGCAGGCCTATAAACTGGTAGCTGTCAGCCCAGAAGGGCTATAATAATTACGGCTTCACTAAGTTGGCTAATAACATATCAATTCCATTGGGATGATCTTGTGCTTTCCTTAATGGGAGGTGTGGGAAGCATTAGTCCCATTTCCTACAAGCCACCTACAAGGAAGAGGGACTTGTCCTGTGTCCAGCTTTCCCCAAAACTGAAAACTTACGAAGATGCTGTTTTTACCGAAGCTCCAGCTCTCCATGTGGGAGCCGATACTTGGGGCTGAACCCCGTAACAACTGAAGTCTTCAGTAAATGCTCTTACATCAACTTTCTCTATTACTCGGGGTTGTGTTGTCTTGTTTCCTAGTGGCAATATATAATTTGTTCACTAATAGACTGTTCCATTTAGACAAATTAGACCTTTTAACACCATTCTTATTAATTGGTTTTGACTGCACTGCAGTAATTACAGCAGGGATTGGGACATTGTAGTTGCAGAGGATTGTTGAGACAACGCTTGGCACGGTTTCCATGCGAGTTTGTTATCTCTCTATTTAAACATGGTACTTGAAGCACTACCATGATCTTGGAGTGGCTGTAATTACATGGACAAACCGGTGGGAAGGAGTCATAATGTGGCATCGAAATAGCACCAGGGAGTGCAAACTTGGTTTCACAGATAACATAAAGAAAGTGATGGAGGTGGGATGCCAATGCTGCTGCATCCTGGGGCTCGCATGAATGGTTATTGTGGCTTATATTGAGTAGAGGTGGGGAGTGGATATTGGCATTTCCAAGCATAGTCAAGCATTCCCCATCCTTCCAGGGGGAATTTGAGGTTTACTGCCTGTTTAAAGTGGCTGGGAATTCATTGAAGGCTTCGAGCAACACCCACCATTGCCTCTGGGATGCATCGCCCACGTTGCAGCATTGGTTGCAGCAGGAGCAGCCTTCCTCCCCATCAAGATCCTCCATTTATCTTCATTTAATTCCATTGCTCCCATTTCTTTCCCACCATGCTGATGGTAGAGAGCCTTCTCACAGCCCTCTGCTGAAGCTGAGAAGTCCCGGACCTGTTGGAGAGGGAGTGAGCCCTTGCAGTGCACCTGGTACTGAGCCCGATGGAAAGACTTTGCTGCCCATGTCCACATGGACTGCAGTAAGCAGTGCACACCCGGACACTGGTTTCCCAGAGCTTGTCTGTAGTATTCTGTGTTCTGGTGCTAGTAAATCACTATCTGTACAATGCTGCAGGGGTGCAGCAGGCTGAGAGAGTTGGGCTTGTTCATCTTGGAGAAGGCTAAAGGGAGACCTTAGAGCAGCTTCCAGTGCCTAAAGGGTCCTACAGGAGATCTGCAGAGGGACATTTTACAAGGGCCTGTAGTGACGGAACAAGGGGGAATGGCTTTAACCTGACAGAAGGGAGATTTAAATTAGATATTAGGAAGGATTTCTTCACTATGGGGGTGGTGAGATACGTAGTACAAAGGGTTCGTTCGTTGCTGCCCAAACAGAGCCAGTGATCCCCTTACCGCCCTGTGCCTGTGCTTGAAACCATCTTAATGCACTGTATCATGGCACGTTAGAAAGTCAAATCTCCTTTTAGCCCAGCTTCCTAAGGAGGATTATGTGCTCATGCTGTTTATATCTTCATCCCTCCATCAAGAACTTTTGACCCTGTGGGCCCAGATCAACCACATTTATCAGCTGAAGGTGTTGATGGTAGTAGGCCACAGGAGGGGTTGGAGCCAGATAAAGTGGTGACACTGAAGGAAAGTGCTTCTGTGTCAGCTCACTGATCAGGCATGAGGTCCATGGGAGAGGCTCACAGGCACCCAGACACGGGAATTGCCTTTTTGCTGAGCCCCACTGTATGTCCTGAGGCAGAGGTGCCTCAGCAGCACTGGGGCTCACAGGGCTGCCCCATTGCTGCTCCCATGGGTCTTGGCCATGCAAGAGGCAGTTGGGCTGTAAATAGCAAGCTTCAGTAAACAGGTTTTCTGCAGCATTACCAAACATGGCAACATCTGGGACAAGCAGAGGAAAACCTGAGTTCAGATTTTGCATTGGAAGCATTGAGGCTTTCCAAAGCTTTGTGTCTTTAGACAAAGTGATGGGGATCTCAGGGTTTGGATTTTCACCTTGATTTTCCTGCACTTCTGATGCCTGGGAAGATGTTAAATGAAGCCAAGTCCACAGGTTCAGGCATAGGGAAACTGATGAGAGCTGCATCTGGTCATGCACGTGTGTGTATACATGCATGTGTGTGCATTTATATGGACATATGTGTGTGTATATATATCTGTGTGTATATATATCTGTGTCTATATATATCTGTGTTTATATATGTGTGTGTCTATATATATGTATATCTCTATACATAGGCACGTGTTATGCAGTGCTGTATATTCTCAGCCATTCTAATAGCAGACTGAGATTGAGTATTTTTAATCTCAAGCTTGAAAATACAGTGCTAAGAGAAAAATCCAGTGGGGTCTCATGCTGGGGGGCAGTCCAGGTGAGTTCGGGCTACCCTGACAGCTGAACTAGACCTTGCTGTGCCCCCAAACACATGAGCTCGCTCAGGTTTTGCACCTTTTTCCTGTGGACACAGGAATGATTCCCTGTGGTCTCACCTGACCTGAGTAAAATAAACCCCATTTGCAGCGCTGTGTGCAGTTCTGGTGTCGTCAAAGTAAGAAGGACATGGAGCTGTTGGAACAAGTCCAGAGGAGGCCACGAGGATGATCAGGGGACTGGAGCACCTCCCGTATGAAGACAGGCTGAGGAAGTTGGGGCTGTTCAGCCTGGAGAAGAGAAGGCTGCGTGGAGACCT